AATCACTGAAAGATGTTATCATTGTCTACATGACTGCCAGGGAAGCGCAAGACCCGGGTTCAGGTCCCGGCCGAAGCAAGGTTTTTGTCGATAGATGATCACTTGTCACCTTCATCAGTCATCGCACCGCTATCGTACCGCTTGCGTCATGAAATAATTGTTGAAAATATCAGTCCTCAAAAAAATGCATAACAAATTGCGAATTCGGAGAAGCAAAGTGAAAGTTCACTGCAACCATGCGTGCGGTCGCGGAGCACTTGATTATAAAAGCACCACGGAGACGCCAGAAAACAATTGTAGAATGTTTATTATTTACTATAGGCCTAAGAAGCTGCACATCTTCCAAGTTAGATAGCCATTGCTCATGCTCTATAGTACTCAAAATGAAGTGAAGTTATGAAACCACAAAGTATGAGCTCCTCGATGGGCGGAGCTAGAAACACTTTCTGAACCAACAGTCATAGCCAGTGAAGGGCAGGGTGATATTCACTGTTGGATGCCTCCTGTATTCAGTTTCATGAAATAGATGGAAACCCTCAGAACTCTACAAGCCCAAGTTGCACTGAAATTTTACAGAGTCGAATCAGTAGTGAAGGAAGAAATTATCAGGACTGAAATGATCCTTCATTTGATTGCTCTTTTCGTCTCCTTGACGCTTAGTTCGGCGGTAAGTTACTGAAGGAATGACTATCGCTTTCACAAGAATGCTGGGTTGTGAACAAAACTTTCGCCCCAGGCGGGACTAGAACCCGCACCTCTCGCTTTCCGGGCAAGTGCGCTACCAGTTACGCTACCGGGGCACCATTTCATCCCAACTCAGCTTTTCATGGTATACTTACCATAGCTTGTCAGCACTCACACTATCGCTTTGTTTTGTCCCCTCCTAAAGAGGGAATTCCAGAAATAATTATGACTAACAACACAGTTTCAAAGCATTATAGTTCCTTTTATAGCACGTCTTCGAATATTCCGGTAGCGAAGAATGTGGAAAAAGTGAGTGTGAACAATCAGAATTCATTCGAGTGACTAAAATGAGTTTGTTGCAGTTCCGAAAGTTTCGGATTATCTCATACACTGGGGTGAACGTGCTGTGCCTGGAGAGATACCGTGGGCGGCTCTTCTTCCTACAGGATTATGTCTATTGTTAGTTCCTTCAGCAATCTTCTAGACCCTCTGTTGTTTTTAATTTCCATGCTTAGCGCAGTACTATGGGTTGCTCAATCCGTGGGGCACCTCGAAGCAGAGATTGGTGTCGCATTTTTGCTATTTTTGCTATTATGAGAATTCGTTTTGGAAGCTGTCAAGCTGGCGACCACTAGGTGCGCCGGTATATGAGCTACACACGCAGAAGCCTGGTAACAACCACGACCGCGGGTCTGAGAAGCTTACTTCCTGTATATTAAAAGCCGCGACTCGGGATTAGGTCCCAAAAGCAAGTCCCTTCTGGAGTGAGAAAGAGAGGTCCACAAGGGCAGAAAGTACCACTCTACTGCGACTCTGAAGAGCGAGGCAACGGCGCCAAGGCCTTCCAGCGCTGTGTCTGTCCACCATCCCGGCTTCACAATGGAAATTGAGTTTTCTGCGTGGCTTTTAGCTTTTTCTCCCCGGTAATGTTCCTCATTGCACTCCTTGCCTAACTTTCAAACAAAATAACCGATCGGCTCAATCCCGACTCGTGCCTTTAAGATATAAACCTTCAGCTGCCCGGTCAACCTCTTGGGACCACGCCTTCCTCATAAAAACAGAGTGGAACTCTGGCTCCGCGCTTATTTTTCAGCCCTCACGGTTCCGTAGTATGTTCTATGGAATCATGGTATTGCGTGGGCGCATAATCCGAATCGCACCATCCCTCACTCCTTTAATTCGTCCATGTCATTTACCTTTCTTCTATTTTGCACGTACGTTCTAGACGACACTACCCTTCCAATTGCAAGTACTTCATTGTGTTGGTGTGGGAGAATGAGTAGGAAAATAGATTCAATTTCCGAAGAGAAACAAACTTACAAAAACCACACTCTATGGACAATCGAAGGTAAGCGGCGCGGAGCCAAAGGCGGGGCATGGAAAGAAGTGCGCCTTGGGCGGCCAATATCAGGCGACGCATGAAAGAATCAATTAAAGCGTTTGATTTTGGAGAATAGGACAAAACGATCGATAGAATAGGATGCAGTAGAAGTGTGAGATGTTAGTGCAATAAGTCAAAAGGTCAAAAGAGTTTCTAGTGACAGCACTCCGTGAACCAAGTGGAAGCGTTCCCGCCGCCAGCATTTGTGACAGATGTCCGGCGGGAATTTGAACGCGTAGCAGTCCTTCCGGTTTTTCGAATTGTTTACCAAAACAAATGCAATTTTTTTGTTCTTTCCGTTTTATCGTGCACGATGGGTTTAGTAGTAGAGTTACAAGGTAAGTTGGTGTCTCGAATGCTTTTTATCTGATAAGATTTCAGTTAAGCGATGCAGCGGTTCGCTGATTAC